GTCGCAATTAATCACTTTTCCCACCACCTAGAGTCATTACATACCATTTCCAATCATCATAAATAGCCACACAATTATGTTCATATTAAAACAGAAAAATCACCAATAAATAGAAAACTTCACTAATTCAACCACAAATCAAGATGTAATCCATAATATTGCACCTTATACTACCACTAATCACAAATTAAGCATCATTAGAGGAAGGAAAGTGGTTCTTCACAACTCACCTTAGAAACAAGAGAGATGGAGCAATAGGTCCTCTTAGCTTTCCAAATAACCCCACAAATCAACTCACTAACACTAATTGAAGAGGTTTTATGGAGAAATTTCAAGTTTCAATGGTTGGTTGGATGGATTTGAGCTAAATGGAAGCAAAACTTGAAGAGTTTCTTTCTTTCTTTTTGAGAGAGAAAGCCGGCCACAAGAGAAGAGAAAATGGAGAAATTTTGGTAGTTTTTTTATTTATTTAGTCAATTGGTAAGACCATGAATAGTGGTGTTAAGGTAAACCCACTCAAATGGTGACACTTGTCACCTTTTATTAAATGCTTACCTAATTTGTCTCTCTTATACCAATCCACTTAGCATGCTCTAATTATCTCTTCACACCCGGTAAATTACTTCCAGTATCCAAAACTTAACCTAGTTGGCCGAATTTTTCCGAAATTTTCGCACTAGTGGGTCCCACGTCCGGTATACGCTCTTAATTTCTCAAAAACTATTCAATTCTAGAAAAATCATCTAAAAACTATATCTGCTCATTAAAAATATCTAGAAATTTTTTTCTAAGCACGAAAATGCAGAAAACAAGCCATGAAAAATAATAAAATCTAGAAAATGAAAAATACAGGTTGTAGACACCAAATTTTTGGTGTAATTTCATTTACTGTTTATTTTTAGTTTTTTATTTATCGTGTCAGTTTTATTCAATTTTTAGTTTTTAGTTTCTAGTTTTATTTTTATTTTTAAGTTTTTAGCATAGAATTTCTTGGAAAAAAGAAAAAAAAGAGGAAAAATGAATGAAAATGGAAAGAAAAAGAGGAAAATCTTAGTTTTTATTTTTTTTATCTTTTGGTTGCTAATTTTGTACATTTTATTTAAGTTTAAGTTTGTTTGAATTATTATTGTTTTTATTGTTATTCAATGTTTTCTTAAAAAAAAAAGGGGGAAAAGGGAAAAAGCTGTTTTCGTGCATGAGGACCATCGGATGGCCAAGGAAAGAGCGTGGGGTTTGGGGTGGTTGCTAACCATTCAGATAAGGGCTAAGAGTGAGGCACGGTGCTATAAAAAGAAAAAAAAAACAGCCGCAAGGAGAGGAAGCTGAGAGAACTTGAGGGCTGAGAAAAGGGAGGTTTTTGGACGGCTAAAACTAGAGAGAAACCAGGGAGGCAGAGAGAGATAGAGGTTTTGGGACGGCCGAAAGAAAAGGTTGGTGACGGCGGAGAGATTTTTGAGAGAGGACAATCAGCAAGGAGAGTAGAAAGAAAAGGGAGAGTTCAGGTAGGAAAGAAAGAATAACGGATGGATAGTTGAAGAAACTGGGAAAGGCTGCAAGGGGAAGAAAGGAAAAGGAGGCGGTGGTTGAACAAGAAGAAGCATTTGTTTCCATTTCATACGGTATTCCAGAAATCTCTTCACCCAAAGTCTGTCTCGTTGAAGTCGACGTCTATACGCCCTCTCTTCGATTCTTCTTTGCGCACGGAACTTCATAAGGTGCTAAAGGTAATCCCTTTTATTTCATATCTCCAAGCAAGCCCAGCAGATTGTATATTCTTTCTTTTTTCATTAGATTTTCACAATCTTTAATCTAGTCCGCTAGTTCACGGTAGGAAGTTGCAGGTTTGACATGTTTTGATATGATGTGTTTATCTTGTTTTGATGTTCTGGGTTTGGTTTCTGGAAGTTGGGATTGAAGATTTAGAGGTTGTTTGTCGGGAAAATTAGATTTGTTTGAGTGTTTTTGATCATGCACGTCTTGTCTTGTATTCTATTCCTTCATGGCTGTTTTGACGAATAAAGTTGCTGAAAAAGTACGGAATTTCTGGAATGGATTTTTGTATGTTGAAGTATTGGATGTTGTTTTCTTGCTAGAAATCTAAAAGCTTATGATGTTGGTTCTTGTGATGTTGGTTAAATGGTGCTAAAGGTTTGTGATTGAGGCTGAAGCCTACGCACGAAAATGAAGAGTCTTTGCTGCAATCAGAATTGTCTAAGGCATTTTTCCGAATAGGAAGGTTTTGAAACCATTTTTGTATGAAAGTTTGCTAGAACCTACATGATTTCCTTTGAAATCTTGGTTCGTTTGTGGTACCCGTGTATTTCATTGCTTAGGTTAAAGTTATGATTTTTGGCTGGAAAATTTGATCAAAGTTGTGTGTTTGGATCCAAAAGTTGCGTCAGAAATGAACGGCAACAAGTTTTCACTTCGATTACTGATTTTTTTTGGGTAACTAAGTTTTCTGGAATGGCCTGAATTTCCTTTTTCGGTTTGTTTGATAGTAATTTCATGTATGAGTTTGCTACGATTTGAAACAGCAGTCCTTAGCAACATATGCCTGATGTCTTCCGTTTGTGTCTTGAGCTCAGACTGGTAGAAATCTTCTTTAAGAAATGAGTTTTTGCAAATTTGCATCATTCTGCATTCACCTTCCATTTGCATGCATTCGGATGACAAATCTATGTAAAGCTTGGGATTGTTTTGATTTGAGTTTGTTGTTGGAAACTTGCCGTATGTCTTTGCTGAGTTCTCAAAACATTAGAAGTTGTGGACATCTTGTTTTGTCAAAGTTTGCATCAGAAAATATTGCAGAAAACCTCCTCAGCTGCCGAATCCCTTTATTGCAGAGAGCTTGGTTTGTATTCTTGTTTGCATGAAATTCTCCTTCATTCTGGTTTAGCCATCCGCTTGCATGCATGATGGAGTATTGGGAATGATAAGTTTGACAAGAACATGAGGTTGGGTTTTGGTTTGAGATGATTGTGTGAATTTGCCGGGCAAGGTTGCTGAAGTTTAAGAGCATAAGAATTGTTGCAGAAACCTATCATTCACGCATTTGCATGGAATTTTGCATGAAAATCTTCACAAAATTGGAACTTTGCTCCCTTTGGTCTCTAGTAATGCTACAAAGACCCAACTACATTCCAATTTCTTGCAATTAGATCCTAGGATAATTGTAATTGAACCATTCCTCAACATTTTCTTTGCCCTTAGACCCTTGAAGTTCCTAAAAATGTTTAATTAGGCTTGAGTGCTTGGTTAATGTTCGCAATTGAGTCCTTGGTCGCTTCATTTTTTTTTTCAACTCGATTGCTTGTTTGTTTTCATTAATTTCCATGTTTTGTTTAGGTTATACTTAATGCATGAATTTGTGAACTTTGTGTCTAAATGAGCTTGTGTTTGCCTATTTTCTTTAATTTCCCTAAATAAAATTGGTTACTTGACCTTTTTATTACTCTTGGATCCTTGAAGCTCCCAAAATGTTTCATTTGGATTGTTTTGAGCTCTTAGTAGTTTTGAGCTCTTAGTAGTTGCTATATTGAGCTCTTAGTAGTTGCCTATACCGTCAACTGAGGTTCAACAATGGCCCACCTTCATGTTACCTAATGAACTGCATCAAGTAGCCCAATTTTTAGGACCAATTGGAGACTTTAAGGAGATCAAATCCAACAATTATTTGGTAGAGGCTTTAGTTCATCTTTGGGACCCCGAGTGCACTGCTTTTAGAATAGGCAATAGGCAAATGACTATAACACTCGAAGAAGTAGCTGGCCTCCTTGGTTTACCCACACGTGGAACTGCCTTGGTGTTTCCATTTGCTTCCGACAAGGCCGAATTTTGTCAAATTATAGGATTGAAAGAGTCCGTGCTACGAGGGTCAGATCAGGGCGTCGCCGTGAATATTCTGTTTGAACGATTTGCGCCACGCGACGGATTCGAGAGGCATGTGACGGATTTTGTGTTCACTTCCAAAGCCGTATGGGAGCGCAAAACGCTACTAGTATATGGGGTAGTTATGGCTGGAACCTATCTCTTTCCGCGAAAAGATCAAAAGAGAGTCTTTAAATCAGCAAAAATTGTGAATGACCTTTTCTTAGGAATTCAGGGTAAGCAATGTTCTATAGTTCCGACCATTCTCGCAGATATTTTCTTAGCTTGTACTGGTTGTCGAAAGGGAGAAAAGTTTTTCCATGGGGCGAACTTGGTTTTATACATATAGGCTACGGGACATTTTAAGAGACAAGCATCAGTTGCCGATAGTTTGCCGGTGGTTGGATATAATTGGGTAGTCACACATCCCAAAAGAGTCAACGAGGGAGATCTACCAAAGAATGCATCCGAATGTGTGGACTACTTGGAAATATTGCAAGATTTCAACATTAGGTGGGTATTAGATTGGACAGACTGTTTTGAGCCGATACTTCGCACAAAGGAATCCGAACGTGTTCTCTTGCTGGGTACTCAAGGAATCATCTCATATACCCCGAAGAGATTTCTCAGACAACTAGGTCGCATTCAGGGGCCGCCACCGATTTCCGAGTTTAGTGAAGTCACCATTTTCTTTGATCAGGGGGTATGCCCAAAAGAGATCCCTATGAAGAGCCAAATCACTGAATCTTGGAGAACAATATCCGACGATAGAAGCATTCGTTATCTTCCGGAGCTCAAACAGAAGGGGGTAATGACCGCACCATACGAGGATTGGTTGAAAGATTCCACCACACAAGGGTTGCAACATGAGCCGTATGAGGAAATTGAGAAGCTGAGAGCCATCATTAAAGCCAAGGACATGGAGGTGGTACAGTTGAAGAAATCCATCGAAGCGCACAAAGGAAAGGCAGAAGAAAACAAGAGGTTATATGAGAAGGAGCGAGAAAGGCGCCAACAGATGAAGCGGAAATGTGGGGAATTATATGATCGAGCTGAACGTGTCAAGATGACATACCCGGGAGATAGAGGACTACCCCCTACCCCGGAGGTTTAAGATCCCGAGCATCGAGATGTACGATGCCTCTACAGACCCGGAGGACCACCTTTCGGTCTTCTTGACGCATATGCGCCTGCAAACCGCCGCGGATGAGGTCCGCTGCAAGACCTTCCCTATGTTCCTAAAGGGGAAGGCGCGGCTCTGGTTCCAGGGGCTGAAACCGGGGTCTATACGGAGCTTTTCTGAGCTGGCCCGGCAGTTTGCCGCCCAGTTCGTCTCCTCGAAGGTCTACGCGAGGAACGCAACTCACCTGATGTCCATCAGACAGAGGCCCGATGAGTCGCTGAGAAATTTCATGACCCGTTTCAACGCGGAGAGCCTGCAGGTCAGGGAGAAAGACGAAAAAGTGGTCATGGCCGCCTTCACAAATGGGCTCAGGGTAGAGGAGCTCTTCTACGACCTGGCCAAGAAGCCTCCCGTAAACCTGGAGGAGCTCCTACGCAGGGCGCATGAGGCCGCTAATGCGGAGGAGGCAGGTCGTTTGAAGAAAGAATCAGATCGAGAGCTCGAAGATCGGAAAGGTCGGACAAACCCCCCGGAGGGCAAGGACGTCCCGTCCAAGAAAAACGTCTTCGACCGACTCTCAAAGGAGAAGGCCCCTGCTCTGCCGCCACTCCCAGAGAAGACTTACACCCCTCTAACACGGCCCAGAGCTCAGATCTTGGCGGTTATGGAGGCGGAAGGACTGGGAGATCGGCCGCCCAAGATGGGGACGCCCCGGAACAAGAGGAACCAGGACAGATACTGCGAATCCAGATCCGAGCTGCCAAGTACGCCTACGCTGGGAGAACCCTTTATCGGAAGTCGTACTTGTCCCCCTGGCTAAAGTACGTGACGCCCGAGGAAGGTGACTACTTTCTGCGCGAGATCCATGAAGGTATATGTGCGGCACACGTCGGGTCCCGGGTGTTGGCAAAAAAAGTGCCTCCTTTTGGGCTACTATTGGCCCTCCGTCTTCCGAGACGCCGCAGATTTGGTCCAGAAATGCCGAGCTTGCCAGGTGCACGCTTCGCTGCGCCATCAGCCAGCTCGGGAGATGGTTCCCATCCACAGTCCTTGGCCCTTCGCTCAATGGGGGATAGACCTCCTGGGTCCCTTCCCCCGAGCCCCGGGAAGATATGAACACCTCGTGGTGGCAATAGACTACTTCACAAAGTGGGTGGAGGCGGAGCCCCTGGTCTCTATCTCTGGAAAGGCAATTCAGAAATTCTTCTGGAAGAACATAGTTTGCCGCTTCGGGATTCCGCACATCCTGATATCCGACAACGGCCGCCAGTTCGCCGAGAACCCTTTCCGGAGCTGGTGCGCTGAGCTCGAAATCAACCAGCACTTCACGTCGGTTGGTCACCCCCAGGCCAATGGTCAGGTGGAGAACGCCAACCGAACTGTCCTGCAAGGGTTGAAGACTAGACTGGAGTCCGCCCAATCGAGCTGGCTGGATGAGCTCCCCAGTGTCCTCTGGGCTTATTGCACTACGCCCAGGACGGCTACCCACGAGACCCCGTTCTCCCTAACTTACGGAGTAGAAGCTGTGGTGCCCGCGGAGGTCGGTCTTCCCTCACCCAGAACTCAGAACTTCGTGGCAACATCCAACGAGGAAGAGCTTAGGTGCAACTTGGACATGCTCGAAGTCAGGCGTGAAGAAGCGGCTGTTCGAATGGCTAAGTATAAAAGCCAGCTAGCCCACTATCACAACGCCAAGGTGAGAACTATGCAGTACCAACCCGGAGACCTCGTCCTAAGGAAGAACTCAATCAGCCGAGCTCACAGTTCCAACAAGCTCGACTCAAATTGGGAGGGCCCCTACAAGGTCCTTGAGGTAGGTCGGGCCGGTTACTGCAAGCTCGCCGACATGAACGGATCTGAGGTACCCCGTACTTGGCACTTCTCCAACCTGCGCCTGTTTCTAGCATAGGGTAGACCAGAATGTCCAGTTGTCTGTACTCTGGAATCGAAATTTCTTTGGTTTTTACATTCAATAAAAGTTTGCCTTTGGCATTTACATTTTACTCATTCCTGTCTCCTTTCCAAGCTAATAAAATTCACTAGCACACTTAGCGTTTCCTCCCTAAATGTCCTAGTGGGGGGTTAGGGGTACTAAGCAGCCAAGTGTGAAGTGCTCGGCCCAAGAGGTCGGCACGATCGAGGAAAAACGTGGAAACTTGGAAGGGTTCTGAGTTCTGAAAACTGCGCGCTCGGCCCAGGAGGTCGGCGGAAAGGAGCTCGGCGCCTGACATGCTCGACCCCTAGAGGTCGGCATGGGTTAAGTCCTCCAAGGCTCCTAAGTCGGTGCCCGACCCAGGAGGTCGGCACGATCAGGGTATAGTGTTCGGCCCAAGAGTTCGGCACGATCGAGGAAAAACGTGGAAACTTGGAAGGGTTCTGAGTTCTGAAAACTGCGCGCTCGGCCCAGGAGGTCGGCGGAAAGGAGCTCGGCGCCTGACGTGCTCGACCCCAAGAGGTCGGCATGGGTTAATATCCTCCAAGGCTTCCAAGTCAGTGCTCGACCCAAGAGGTCGGCACGATTGGGAACTTGGGTGGAAGCTGAAGCTCGACCCAGGAGGTCGGCACGATTGAGAACTTGGATGGAAGCTGATACTCCACCCCTAGAGGCCGGCACGATAGAATTGGGAGCGGGCAAGAAATGCAAAATAAGTCTCCTCAAGTTTTATATATGCGCTCAAAGCCTATCTATTACAAAGCGCCCTGCCTATCTGCCGCAAAATTTCCGAGTTGGAATTCTCCTTCGATGTCTGTTCTACCTGCTGGTGGCCCGACCGAGGTGGGAGCTGAAAGTACACCTTAAGCATGTTGAGAGGCGTATGGTGAAGGCTATGCAGGAGCCCGGGAGGGGGAGCCCTTCCGTCTCGGATGGACCTCCAAGAGCATTTTCAATTGGGGCATGGTCACATCCTTATAAGAAGACGGAAAGGGTTTCTGGAGTGGCCTCCGCCCTAGACCACCGGCTCCTTCCCAGCAGCTCTGCCGGGAGACCCGCCCTCCTCCAAGGGGACCTCCTCCAGCTCGGCCCCAACGTCGGTCCGTCCCGCCAGCTCCTTCAGGGAATGCCCCTTGCGGTACCCGTCAAAGAGCCAGTCCAACCTCGCCTCGGCCGCGGGGTTGTAGTCTTTGAAGCTCGCCAAGTCGAAGCCGGGGGGATTGAGTTTCTTCACCTAGTCCAGGGCTCGAGTGCAGCCGACCTGGAGGATGGGCAGGTTGAGGTAAGCAATGTCCTCCTCAAACTGATCGGAGGTAAGGAACTCCCGGACAGCCTTCTTCCGCTCCCGGCTGACGGTGCCGGAGAGCTCGATGGCGTGCTCTTCCTTCAGCTTGGCCACGCCGGCCCTCTCCTGATCGAGCTCTGACCTGGTGGAGGCGAGTTGGACCTGAGCGATGTCCAGCTCCTTCTCGGCCTTGCCTAGTTTGGCCTTAAGGGAGCTTGCCTCCTTAAGGGCCTGCGACAGCTTTTTCTCCGCCTCCAGGTTCTTCTTCCGCAACTTCTTCAGGTCGGGAGACAGCTCGGAGAAGCGGGTAGCCAGGGCGGCACCGGCGGCGTTGGACTGAAAAGGAAAGAAAGCGAATCAGCACGCCACATCACTTAGCCCAGACACGGGGGCGAAATTAACCCACGGGCGACACTTACTTGGGCTTGGGCTGTGTAGTACGCGTCCAAGAGCTCGGAGGGCCTGGCCAGCTCCATCCACCTCCTGTCCCGAGGAAGGACCGAGCCCACCATCAGCTCGCGAGCCACCTCGGGGAACTGGGCTCGGTCGTTGATGGAGAGTTCCCAGGCTGGACAGAAGTGGCGGGGGTGATGCATAGTGGGGGCTTGGCCCGGCTTCAAGGGAGCCACGTGGCGGAAGTGCCACAAGTTCGGGGGAGTTGACACCTGGGCATGCTCCTCGGCAGAGCCCACGCCTAGGTGGACCGGCCCCCCGGAGACCAGCGCATGAGGAGGGGGCTGCACGGGTACCATCGCGAGCTTCTTCTGCCCGCCCTGGGAGGGCTCGTCCCCTCTGCCCCTCTTCTGCCCGGCCGCCTTCTTCTTGTTGACGGCCTGCTTGGAGGGGGACGGCTGCGATGCCTCCTGCTGGGGGGCTGAGCTGCCCCCCGGGGTGGAAGCCCCTCCTGGGGCCCCCTGAGTAGCCCCGGGTTGGGGGGCGGGGGTGACCTCCTCAGTAGCAGCGCCCAGCAGTTGGGAGAGCTTCCTCACTGCAACGGACACAACCGGATAAGCCAAGCGCAATGCAGTAAAAGGAAAAAAACCAAGCCAAAATATACTACAAATGTGACAGGGGCAAAGCCAGCGTTACAGGTATCGGGTTTGGGCTTAGGGGTTGCCACTTCCCCAGAGGATCCGGACAACGTCCCCATCAGCCCGGCTGCGGAGAGCTGCTCAGTCGAGATCCGGGTGACATCGAGCTTCAACTTGGAGCCCAACAGCTGGCCGAGGGTATCGTAGTCCAGGTCCCCCGGATAGGAGTCGGCCTTGACCCCCCCAACCTTCCACACATTGGGGGGAAAATGTGTGGATCTGACAAAGAAGAAGTCCTCTTTCCAGTCCTTCACGGAGGAGGGGAGGCCGTAGAACAACTCCTGGGCCCCTTTTCCTCCCTTAGTCTGGGGGCCACGGCGGGAGAAGTAGTACCACCCCGGAAGGGCGGTTTTAAGGATGAAGGCAGCTCGGAAGAGGGAGAGGGAGTAGGGGATGTCACAAAGAAGGCAGTAGATCAGGAATCCAATAATAATCCTGATAGAGGTGGGGTGAAGCTGGGTGATTCTGAGCCCCCAGTAGTTCAGAATCTCGGTAAGGGCTGAAGGGATGGGGAGGCGGAGTCCTGCGATGAGCTGCTCCCTGTAGATGGCTACGAAGCCAGGGGGAGGTCTGCAGGCTCGGTCGCCGGGCCCGGCCACCCTCGGCTCGTAGGCTGGAGGGATGGAGTAAGACTTGGCCAGCTCGGCCACTGCCGCGGAGGATAGGGTGGCCTCCTGCCGGTCGACATGACCGTAGGAGAACTTGGGGTCATTCCCCTGCTCTGAAGCAGGGGTCCCCTCAGAGGCCTCCCTATCCTCCCCGGCTCCCCCTTGGGCTCCGCCGGGGGAGTCGTGTGGAGACCTGGGGGGAGAGGCGGAGGTAGCCTGCCGCGCGATGAGGGCGTCGAGCTCGGCCACCTCCTCAATGGCGCGGCCAAAAGGAGAGTGGGATGAAGGAGATTGGGGTGAAGGAGAACTCATAATGACTATAGGGTATAGGAGGTCGGGGTTAGAAGCGGAAGAGGAAGCAGGGGGAGGTGGAGAAGGCAACGACGAGGGCGAAGATGAGGAAGAAATGAAGATCCTGGTGGCTCTGCGATGGACCGGGGACGGGGAGGCGGTGGAAGTGACGTCGGAGTAACCCGACATAAAAGAGATGGTAGAAGCAGGAGGGTGGAAGAGGTACTGTCAAGGGAAGAGACTGCAAAAAGGAACTTACTGATGGTGTTGGAGCGGAAGAGGGATGGAAGGCTCGCCGGAATCTGGGTATGGGACGCCGGAAGTCGCTGGAAAATGGAAATGCGAGTGCACAAAGGAAATGGGAGTGCAAAATGCGCGAGGGGAAGGGAAAATGGCAAATAGAGTCGGTTGGAATCTGATTACCCCTATTTATAAGGGGAGAAATGGGGGGAAAACGGTGGAGGGATTTGAACCGACCCCTATGTGAAGGCATTTAATGCTGGTACGGAAACCGAAGAGGCGTGACAACTGAAAGGACGCGGGCGCAGCGTCCCTGTGACAGCACCGTACCAGGAGTGACCTGGGCAGAGTAGTGCGCGGCCCTGGCCTCCC